CAGGGTCTCACCATGTAGTTGAGACTGATCTGGAACTCACTATGTAGCCCAGGCTGGTCTCTAACTCACAGTGATCCTCTTGCCTCAGCCTCCCAAGTGCTGGCATTACAGGTGTGCGCCACCATGCCTGGCCACTGAAACTTAAATCTTTTTAAAAGAATATAGAAACATATAATGTAAAACTTAGACTCAGACAGGTTATAGAAAGTCATCGCTTCTCATCGCTTCTCAGCCTTTTGGCTAAGATCAAGGACGGATGAGTTATAGAAAGTCTAGCTTTTAGAGGCAAAAGATCAAGATAACATAATAGTTCATCAAATGACAAGTTCATAGAATTTTATGAATAACCATGAGAGGAAAAAATTTTTCTAATATTTAAGCCTTATAAACATCACATAGCATTAAGATAAAAATAAAAGAAAGGTGAGGAAAACATAAAATAAAATAACTTCTAAAAGGACATCAAATTATTTATTGGTTGATTGCAGTGCTGGGGAGTTAACCCAGGTGCCTTCACAATGATCTGCATCAATTTTTGTATTTTTAATTTTGCAACAGGGTCTCACTAAGTAGTTAAATTTCCCAAGCTAGGCTTAAACTTGGAATCCTCCTCCCTCCTCAGCCTTCAGAGTGCTGGGATCACAGATGTGTGCCATCACACCTGGATGAAGTTTTTTTAAATGCCATCGTATCTGTCAACCATAGGAACAATTTTATTTTTAAAAGTAGTTGTAAATTAGGCATTCTTACTCTAAGTATTCTTTTGACAAAAACTGACTCAAAATAAATTATGAGTAACTAGACCAGTACTTTACTAATTTAATATCAAGGATATAGATAGATAGATAGATAGATAGAGATATATAGATATATCTATATATTTTTTTTTCCTTTCCTCAAGTTGATTTTCAGTGAGATGAGTAAGAAAATTCTTCATATGGCCAGTGATACTCTGGTTTCTCTTCAGATCATATCAATCTTTCACCTTTTCATATATCCAATGTATTTCAAGTTCTCTATTCACAAAGTAAAAATTTCAAAGTCCACATCCAGGTGAGCTTTACATTTTCAATACTTTTTAATGAGAGAACACCTTCAAACCTGGTGTTCTACACAATTTTCTTTCCCTTTACTTATGCACACAGTCCTTTGGGATCTTGATGGTATCAAATGGAGACAAATGAGCTACTTTATTTCTCAAATGCAAGCATTTATTGAAGGGATGGAAGAAGCCAGCACCTTAGAAACCAGTTACTTGAAATATATTGAACTACACACCACGTTAATGCATTTATCTTGGGAGGAAGGTTGGATCTTTACTCCATGAAGATGCAAAAATAGCATACATATCACTGTGTAGGGTGAGCTTTCTGAATCCAAGGGTAGCATTGTTTATTTACCTATTCTGTCCTGGGAGGAAGCTTGTACCAGATGTTGGGGAAAAATCAACACAGCTAAGCAGTATTGTCAGATAAGAAACATTTATATGATGTTTGTAGCACAGCTACTATCTCCTGCTAGCTTTTGTGAGACTGAATGTTTAAGAGGATAAATACTAGACTCTTGCTGTTGCTTTCTAGCTCCTTTACCTTACTTCAGTTCTACAAACCCGGTGATGTTGTCCTGGCTTATCCCAGCTTCTATTCTGGAACTTAACAAGGATGAATGAATGTGTGGGGAAAGACCAGAATAAGGAGATTGGTCTCATCACAGAACTTCACCATGAACTTGGCTTGGAACCATGCACAGTTGCTTTCTTTCCTCCTTTCCAAATGTTTGAGTGATTGGAGTTGTCCTGCTGGATGGGTAAGTATATTCTTGCCCCAACTCTCAGTTTTTCCCTTTGACTTGATTCAAGCAGGGTACGTATGTAAGGAGAGATTGCTTCAGAGCTGAAGTTTGTTGGTCAAAAAGTTAAACAGAACCAGAGGATGTGGAACTAGGATGTGCCCCCAAAGGAAGGACATATTCTCCCTTACCGAATTGAATCCCATATGCACAGGGTGTCATGTTCAGTTTTTACCTTATCAAATGGAAATTCTTGTTCCCTGTCTGCCTGCTGTCTGGTTTGTATGTATTACTTTCCCCTCGAAAAAAGAAAAAAAAAACTTCAGCAAGAAGGAAATCCGTGTACAAAAAAGCTTATGTCTTGTAATGTTAAAATGACTGAAATTATTACACAACTGTCTGAACTAATGAATAATTAGTTCTAAAAAAACAAACTAGAAATAAAACAAGCATTTTTCTCTGCAAAATAGGATTTTTGCAGATTTGTTATGATTGTTGGATAGGTAAGGTTTCTATTTGCCACAGTCAAAAGAAAATAGTTGTGGACATCGGCCTTCCAAATTCAACTTCAACTTTCAACTTCAGTCTAATGCAAGTACAGTAGCAAATACTCTGGGAGGCTGAGGTAGGAGTATTACAAGTTCGAGCCCAGCCTGGCCAACTTAGTAAGACCCTGTCTCAAAAAATAAAATGGTGGGCTGGGGGGATTTAGCTTAGGGGTGCCGCCACCTGCCTCACAAGTGCAAGGTCTTGAATTCGATTCCCCATACAAAATATAAAATCAACAACAACAAAAATCAAACAATAATAAAATGTGCTGGAATGTGCCTCAGTGAGAAAGTCCTAGGTTTCGTAGGGCACAAGGGAAGCTGCAGTTGCCCATCCACAACTAGCTAGGAGTTGACACTGCAGCTCTGTAGCCCTAATTTATCAAATAAATGCCTGTCTCCAAATTATCTTCGCTGGGAAAGCCTCTGATAGAGCTCTGCCAGAGAACCAGCCTGGCACCCTGAGAGAAGGAGCCCTGAGCAGCTGACAGCGAATGGGCTCCCCCTAGGGGCGGCCGAGCGAGCAGAGGAACAGCTCCGATGCTGGTTGCCAGGAAACCAAGGCCTTGGTGCTGCTGATAGAAACCAGAGCCCAGGGTCTCATTGTTCGCTTAGCTGCACCATCTTTCCCTAGCACACCAGCTGAGTACAGATGAGTTTTAACCCTCTAAAGCCAAGTTCAACTCCTGAAACCCAATGGAGAAATTTTCCTATCTCACTTTCTCTTTCCCCGGGCCATCTCTCCCCCTTGCTTTCCTTAGACTCTTTCTTTTGTTTTCAATAGTTGCTCTTGTAAACAGGAAACAAAGCTGGAGGGAGGTGTTCAGGAAAACACTTGGCAGGACTCCAGCCATCAGCAGAGCAATGCAATTTAAAGAGGGAGTTTTCTTCTTGGGGCTTCATTCCTACAGAGCTCTTTTCCTTGTAAAAGCTGGAAGAACAATTCTAGCTTTGATTTTGACTCTCTGAGAGCCATGAGGTTTCAGAAAATACAACTCCAAAAGAAAGCTCTAGAGAAAATCAGTGTTTTGTGATTAGTGCATTTATGAAGCATTATAAAATATATAGTTGTAAGGTGTTTCTAGGCTAAATCTTTTATTATTCTGATTACCTTCTGAATAGTCTTCATGTGCATTAGAGAGGATTTTACAGTTTTCTTTTACCGCCTCAGGTCTGTGTCCCAGCATCTCCATCTTGGTAAGTTTCTCCCTGAGTGTATTATTTAAAATAGCAAGGTATATTCCCTACCGGAACGTCTCTCTCTCTCTACCCTGTTTGATTTTCCACAGTGCTTATGTGAGTCAGTGCCCTGTGAGGAAATCAGAATCGTTAAGAGCAGCATGGAACATGTGTCCTTAAAGAAATAAGACTTGAGACCGACAGAAGTTAGAGAAGTAAGTGTACAGAGAGGTGCCTGGGGCTGGGGTGCAGAAAACAGTCCTCTACCAGCCCACTTGAAAATGACACCAGAGCGCTAAGTAGGAAGTGGCAGGAGGATGCCGGCAGTGAGCTGAGGGGTAGCCCCGCTGGAATGGAGACCTAGGAGAGCTAGTCCCGGTCCCCACCAACAGAACACCGCGCCTCTGCCTCTTCTGATCAGGCTGAGGTTTCTCTGACTCAGCAAGGCAAACAGAATAAGAGCCAGATTCAGAGCAGGGGAAAAGAAGAGGGTAGAATCTTGGAGGCTAGTCTATATCTTGCCATGATGATATGATGGTACGACTGCTACTTCACTTCTAACTTCCAAATCCTGTACAAAATCCACTTTTGGCCACCTCTATCCAGGAAAGTGATTCCGAGAAATGTGCTAGCTGAGACTACTGGACACAGTAAAAAAATACGAGTGTTTAACCTTGCATTTTATGTTCTCTCTCTCTCTCTCTCTCTATGTATATATATATATATATATATATATATATATATATGTGTGTGTGTGTGTGTGTGTGTGTGTGTGTGTGTGTGTGTGCGCGTGTGACTTTTTATCTGCATGTAAACACATATATGGATCCTACAGTGGGATGTGAACTGAACTTATCGCTAAGGCACTCAGAGTTGGCAATCCAGACACACAATAGTCTGGCCACCAAGAGTGCTCTGGAGTCTTTTGGTTGAGCCTGAAATTTGATTCACTGTGTCTCCCGCATAAGCTAAATATCACTTGGTATACTTATCATTAAAAATCAAAGAAAACAAAGTGGCTGAAACAATCCAAGAGACTTGTTATTTCACATAGGCATGAGAAGCTCAATAAAATATTGATTGCTATATTTGTCAGCATTTTACTTACAAATTAACATATGTAAATGACCTCAAGAAACTCAAAAGGTGTTTTTCAGAGTTTATTTTCATATAGCAGGACTTTCCAAACTTTTTGACATCACAGAATTTTCCACAAATATGAACTACTACATTTCCCATCAAGCACATCTTAGGAAGTACTCTTTTCATGAAATGTTACCTTTTATTCAAAGTAGAAAGCAATGAATTGCAAGACAGCAAACATAGCAAGTTGAATGATGCCATGGATCTAAGGTACACAATGGAGGGCCTTGTACTAAACATTGATCTAATTTAGTTTTGCTTTTTTTTTTTTCTTCTATGCAAGGATGGATGTTTGCTACCCCAAGGAAGGAAGCTAATACATTTCAGCATTAGTATTTGGCTCTAACAGAAGAGAAATTCTAGTGCTCACTTCACAGAAGCCACTCAAACAGAACACCTGAAACCATGCAGTCATTGCCTGACTGCACCTGTTGCAGCCACAGGCTGTGAGAGAATGAAACAGGAACAAGGGACATTAAGGTTCAGAAATAATGAAGTGTCTGTGCCAAAACCATTGTACACTCAGAACTCTGAAAAGCAGGAAGGTAAGGAGCCAGTGACCACAGGAAAAAAATCAGTGGCAGCAGCCTAGAGACAAGAGAAGCCCAGAGCCTCAATTTGCAATGACTGCACTGGCTTATGTGCCAAGAGCTCAACCCCATCCCCTTGCTCTTGGGACCCTCTTTCCAATTTTAAACACTTGGACACCATAAGGAGTAGATGCATCCAACACATAACCCAAGACATCTGTTAAAGCAAAGTAAAGCAGAAAAACCTGAAGGTAATTTGGAGCCTTCCAAACACCTGTGAGTCAGACAATCCACAAACCTTCCCTTCCTTAAAAGCACAGATGAGCTTGAACCTTCTGGGCATTTCAACAATTTACCATCTGTACCAATAACCCTTTCTGCAGTACAGAGAGTCTTCTAGGAGGATGTAAAATTCAGGAACCAAGATAAGGAAACATGTTTACACCTGCTACATCTGTTCAATCCTTTCCAGGCTCTGCTTTGCACTGGACTTTCCTCGCAGGCACACTTTTAAATCACTCTTGCCCATTTAAGTTTCATATATGTTCCTTGAGCAGAATACAGGAGAAATCAACTGTAGGAACTCTGGACACTGGGATTGTGTTTAAAGGAGATACTATCTCTATTTTTCTTTTACCATAAACAATCACGGAACCTGCCCTCATTAATAAGGTTAAGTACGGCTCTAGAGGTAGATAATAAAAAGTCACAAAAGATGGGGCAGGCATTAAATAAGTCGTGTTGGAAAGTAAAACCTTTAGATAAGCTAAGTGCTGTAAAGCAGCCGAAAAGAACTATTGTCAGTCTATTATTTTGCTATGAAATTTTATTTTTTCATAAAATAAGAAAATCCTCTACAAAATACTTTATGACACTAAAAAAAAAAAGAACAACAACCAAACCATCCAAAGAACACAGTCATCCTCCTTTCTTCTTGAAAGAATATAAATAACTTAAACAGATTTCTCTGTTCTCAAAATAGTAAGACACAGCACAGTGTGCCGCAAAGACAATCAGTTCTTCAGGAAGGAACAGTGTGACTCAGACAACCTGCTCTCTGACAGTGACACTGAGGTCTGGGAGTACTCAATGGGTTGCATATAAAGTCTACATTAATATAAATATTGTATCTATGCCGGGACCACTTAGAAAGGCTCTGAAGATGGGTCAAATTGTAGATACCAAATAGGATAACAGCTTTGCAACCACATCTTACTTCTAAACTTTTTAGAGCATTTAAGCCATGACAGTTAAGGAACTGATTATATTTATACTATATGGAGCTATTTTATATTTTATAATGATATTAACATTGATATTGGGAAATTTGGGCGGGGGGGATCCAGCACCAACAGGTGGCCCTCTGTTTTAACACCAAGCAAGATTCTGTTGAAGTATTTCATTGAGATCTATTATTTTTGCCCATCCAAAAATGGAATTGACTCTAAAGCCAGAAATGTTAAAGCTAAATTATCTAGTACAGACTCTCCAGCCCCAGTTTCCTGAGTTTAAAAAGAGTCAACTAAGACCAAGAATGGTCTGGGGAATCAGACACAATGGCAGAGTTTAGAAGATTTTATTCTAGGATTCCTTCTGAGCATGGTTCTAAAAGAACCTACAGTTTTCTCCACATACAACACACTGACTATACAGCAGGAAGGCTTTTCTCAAGTTGTCTTTCAGTTCTTGAAGTTACCTTAAATGATTCCAGTGGCTGAAGCTTTCTATAAGATCACTGAAGGATAAATGCAGTGTATTGTGTCATTTTGCCTAATAAAACTGACAATTTGTGATTCCTTCCCTTCCTGTAAGAAAGGACATCAAAAAAGTGACAAATTTGTGCCTTACCAGCTAAATTCAAAATAAGGAGGAAGTTTTTCCCAAATCAGCCATCACTGTAATAACTGTAGGACATGCATGTGCTAC